CCCCCCCTCCTCCTCTCCGCCACCCACTTTGATTTAATGCAAACGTGCACAAACTAAGTTGAGGGTGGTGGTGTGATAAAGGGGCAATTAAATCAAATTCACACGATCACATCTTCGCTGTAACTGGTTTTGTAATGTGACAGCTTCCACATCCGCAAGCGAAGTTTTCTCTTGTTTTGTAACTGCCCTTTGTGTATACGAAATGGATCTGTCAGTTGTGGCGAGTGCAATTAATGGCACTTTGTAACGCACTCTATTTGTTGCCAATGGTTCCGTTTCATCTTGCTGCTCTGGTACTCGGCTGCTGTGACGTTGCAAATATCCGATGAAGTCCTCTGGCTAAGATTGTTCAGACTCATACCGGAACGCGTTATTTTTTAATGTGCGCTGTTGCTGTGTGTATAACTCCCACCCATCGTCCTCTTTTGGTATTTCCTTCACAGTTCATGTTTTAATACCTCACATGAAAATCTCGGGTTCTCGGACACTTATTCAGAGATAATTTTGCCTTCCTCGTCTTTTTAACCGCTTCCGATTATATACCCGAGGCTTTTCCTATCCACACTCCTCGTGTTCCCTCTCGCGAAATGTTTTAGGTGAGGATATCGTGTTTCTGGCAACGGACATCACACTGCCGGGTGCTGTGGATTGGGTCATGATGCAGTCTTGTTTTGGCCATAATTTCATGCTGGTTCTGGAGAAACAGGACCGCGTGCCAGACCAGCTCTTCTTCGCCTTGGTTCTCCTCATTGGCACCAAAAAACAGGCAGACAATTTTGTGTACAGGTAAATTTCACTGACGCACACTTCTCAGCTATATCCTGTGGCAACTTTTATTCGTCGGTATACAGAGTTTATATAGAGTTGACAACTGTATCCAATTGGGCTCTGTTGGGCCTTCTTGTTTCTCTTTGGTTGTATTTCCCATCTTATTTATCGCGCGCAATTTTTTGGTTATTTACGTAATTATTCCTATTATTTGGTGCTTTTATACGTTCTACTTTTTTAAATTTTTTTCCTTTCCCCCGATATGCCCCACCCATTAAACCCCCCATTACCACCGGTATCGTATTAGAGAAGGGTGGGGTTTTCGCCTGCTGTAGTAGACCTTCACTGTAACGTTTAACCACGCCTCATGTTATCCCTCCGTAATTCCTACTTATTAAGTTGCATTTCTTAGGCGGGAGAGGGGCACTCAGGAAGGAGATAAAAGACACTGAAACGAAACGTAGGAGAGAGAGAGAGAGAGAGAGAGAGAGAGGAGTGATGCGCAGAGAAAATTTGGATCACAGTTGGACCTTTTAATTTTGAACTCCTACTGGTCCTCTATACTTTTGCTCCGGAAAGTTTTCCAGTCGTCGCATCCTTAATACCAGTAACTCTCTCCGATTTATCTTTTCGTCCTTTTATGTAGCTCTAACTTCGAGATTAATTATGCCTCTATTCTGGTTGACGACCCCTGTTTGCTAATTCGAGTTTGCCCCGTCCCTCCCCACAACCCCCTCAGTTGCAAATAACAGACGGTTTTAAAAATTACTGTTTTCAGAAAGACTTACTTTGTAGAAAAGTGTCTAAAAATAGAATGTCAGAACTTTAAATTAAATGGCCTTTTGGTTTGGCCTGTGTTTGCCATCGAACAGATAAACCTGTAGTTTTCCTAGCACTGACGATAGTAGTCTAATAGAACTTTGTAGCTGTTTTTTTCCAGTCCTTACCAGCGACCGCGAAGAGGAGAAATAACCAAAATCTTGACTTTTATTAAAGGAATGGTCATTAAAATGGATGCATTAGATGCAGACTTTGCCTCAATCTGAGGATATTCCCGTTCGACGAAATGGAAGTTCGTGATCTCATTTTTGAAATGTACTGTCAGACATCGTCATGCTGAAGTCATTAGCAAGCCTGCATACCAGGTCTCTCTAAGTCTCTTCTCTCAGCCCCTTTTTGCACCGCCCTCGGATCCTTCACAGCAAGGGGGTGACGGGGTAAATCCATCGCCGCCGTTGACTGAAGCCTACGTAAGCATTCGCAAACCAGTACGTGTCCGGTGTTGGAGTTATGCAGTAGACACGAATAATTGGTTGTATGAAGCAGTTGGTGTGGGCCCAGACTTTGCACTTCCTACATCGAAAGCCTGGTCTGTTTTTTTCCTTCTTGGAAACACAGACCACAGACGGGTCTCTGTGATAAATTCCCTATTGGACAGGGCCCTGCCATTTTAATAGTCGCCTGATGCAGTCTTATAGGGCTGGGAATGGGCCTTGCCCACTGACAGTGCCCCGGTGACTGTTAGTGTGTTTTCTTCTATAGGCAGGAGATATGGCTTAAGCGTCACCCAATGTTATTGATTCCGCGTCGGCAATATTGCAAACGCTTTGCCACCGTTTCCTTATCCTCAGTGTTGAAATTTGAGGTTTAAAGTCGCATTATGCCCTGTGCAGTCACGGTTCTGGTGGAGATGGAGGGACTCCAGAAGCATGTTCATTTCATGCACACATTATCGTCAGCGCTGCCTATTCTCCCTAGTCAGACTTAGCTATGTAACCAACGGACACTTTTACGACCGTCAAAGGCGTTTATGGGCATCCACTCTTGAAGTTCTTCGTGTCTACCATCACTCTGTCCATGTTGTCGTGGTAACTTCTGGGGATTCAAGTGTTCTTCCGAATGGTCGCTTGACTTTAGCCTCTTGCCAAATTGTGCCTTCTTTTAACTGGGAGCTTCTGGCGCTCAGTATACTCGAGTTTACTTGCCCCACAATGACCTGAATAATTAATTTTTTTCACTTATATATTAATTAATTTAGTAGATTTCGCTATCTTTAGCCGCATAGCGAGAATGATGGACGGAGATATCCGCCATTCTATGCAGGATCTGTGGGAAATTACTCTAGTACTAAGCCGTTACTGAGCCACAATTAGACTGGCCTTTTGACCGAACGACCAGACTTGTGGTATCCTTGTCACATCTCATGTCCGTTTCAGTTAGCACGCTTTACCCATCCAGGACTTAGGAAACTAAGTTCACGTAAATTGCCTACATGGCCATTCTTTGGGCGTGCGAGCTACTCCGGTAGACAGATCCAGAATCATGGAAATGGCCGATTAACAAACGTGACCTTTTCTGTTTGAATTCAGCAAGTCAACTTATCGTTTATGTAGGCGTGGTCTTCGTTTTTAATATTACATAGACGCGAAGCTTAATTTTGTTTCTGACCTTCATCCAGTGTTCCTGCAGCTAGCTCTTCCAGTTCCTATAAACACATGTTACTATGAATTCGCGTTCACAGTAATGATAAGCAGTCATGGCAACATCGTGTTTCAGTTTTAATTCAAATTATGCTCCTTCTACCTGGTACCTCTTTTGCATAAACTGCGCTGATGGTAACTTTTGCTATTGCATTTAGGTAAACTTGTCTTAATGTTTATGTTGCTTTTCCAGTCAGCAGCATAAACTGTGTCCACCGATAGCTTAGTAGTTATTTTCGTGCTGCTGCACATTCTGTCCAACATGCACGCGTCGTACGGTTTGTGGGATTTATTTCTAACACCATCTGCTGTCTGGCAGCAGATATACTTTACTAAACCGTATCTGCCTAAGTCAGGCTGAACCAAATTGTCTGATCTGAAAAGCCTCGCCAACTGGTCTTGGTGCCAACATCTGTACAGCGTGGTATTATTGTTCCTGATTTTATTCGAAGAACACGTCAGTTTACCGTCTGAGGTACATGTGTTCGATATTTCACACAATTCGTGTGACCCTATCACTGTAGTTAAAGTGCGTTTCCGAACAGTGTCGAGGTGCACTCCGGCGTTGACAACCATGTAGACTAGTACTAGTACAGTAGATGGCCTATCTCATGCAATGTCAACGGACATTGTGATATGCGTTTTAGGTGTGATGTTTAACATCACGCAACCGAGTCCCGACACATTTAATTTCCTTCAAGGTGATGGCTTTTAAGCAAACTCGTTTGTGGCCGCCTGTTAAAACAATCTAAAAACAACTACTTAAGTAGCAGGCTTTTTTCCCATTGCTTGTTGATGCCTTTTTAAATTCAAATATATTTTATAGAAAAAATGCATAACAGTATTCGGCAAGGCTTTCTTGTGGGGCCGCCTAATGACAAAAGTTCCTCCGCCCAAGTTTCTTACGGAAATCGTGCTCAACGATTTAGTGCCTGATTACGGCATAGTTAATGCGTGATCAGTGCATAAGAGGAAATAAATTAAAGCTGCTTGTAATTGTTTTCCTGAATTAAAAGTATATGCGAAAAGCATGCGGATAGAACATTGACTGAAATAAACTCCTATTGGTCAGCAAAGGATGTCTATCGATTAGCATAATTAAGGAAGTGTGCGAATAGGCGGAAATTCGACCTCCGTCTTCGTAGATTTTTATACATAAAGAAAGTGTCTTTTTCGGTTTTAACAAACACTTTTCCAGTTTTCCGATAATTTCGACCCAAACCTGTCCTTACACATGCCTTTAGGGTTTCCCAACTACGTGCTCTATACATTTCTCCCTAAGGAAAATCATCTATTTCTCTACACTGAGTAGAGGTCACCTAGTGTTCATAAAATTCAGCATTGGATATGGACAAGTTTGCATACTTTATAAGGAAAATTTATAAATGGGTAGGTTAGATACTTTCCGAATAAACATTCCAAAGTACTAAAAAATCTCACAATTGGAAATATTTTTAACATCCCAAGATACACTTCCTTCAAATATACAATTTAAAGAAGACGTAATTTGCTAACAGATGAGCACAAGAAAAAGATATTTTCATGCATGTATTCCATAAAATATATTTGGATTGCTAAGAGCATCTGCAATCATAGGGAAAATGCGTACTACTTAAGTATTCATTTTTGCAGGTGGTTGAGAGGAAGCTCCTTCGAAAGCCGGCATCCTGAAGTTAATAAGATATCTTCGGAATAGGCTACCCTATATTAAATACTAGACCTGTGCTTAAGTAATTTTTCCAAATCAAGAAAAAACCCTTTCAGGAATTCCGATGATATTTCATGAGATAGGCGTCTACTGAAGTAGTAGTAGTAGTTGTTGTTGTGCTGGGATTCATTGTTAAACAATAAAACGCACAGGTCGCGCTGTAGTATTTTTATTGTCACTTGGTTGATATTGACGTCATTGTCTTGTTGGTCACGTTCCAGCGTTCATAAACTCTTTGAAGTACTTCGTTACCATTCATCAATACGTACCATGCTTTGGCAGGTATTCAGTCCACTCGAGTGAATCGTGTCGTTTTGGGTCAGATCGTCTTGATCACATTAGGCAACTGGTCCAATTTTTCAAAGGGTGTTTCGGCAGATCAGCGAAGACAGTTTATTGATCAGCGCAAAAGCGGCTGCTCTCTAATACCCTTAAGGACAAGCCGCCCTAGAATTCGCCTCAATTTTTTGGTCTCGGCACTTTCGCTCCAAGGTCTGCCTTACGCTCTTTAACTCACCGCTGACCGATTCACGTGACCTGCTTACCTGTGCGGTCTGCTTAAATGAACTCGTGACCAGCAGTATGTCTCGTTTTCAGTGCAAAATGCAATCTGTTTTCCCCCTGACTTCTATGTTGGATCAATAATAGGCGCTACTATGCAGCTTGGCGAAGTACCTTCTTGCTACGCCTACGCCTCTATGTTTTCAGTAAGTAGCCTGAAGATACGACTAACCCAATGAACCAAAATCTACTATGCATTATTTTCTCGTTGTTACCTGCTTCCCAGTTCTGTTTTTGACAATAATAGCCTTTTCATTAAGCCCTAGGTGACTACTTGTGGGTACATCAGGCATTTCCATCCATTGTTTGTCACCTTAAACAATCGCATTATTTTTCCAACCTTTCTACTTCTAGGACTTTACTCTCTTTTTTAAATATTACTTTATTTTGTCAAGACTGAAGGAATGTTACTGTTATTGCCGTGCTTCGTAGCCCTTCGTCTAATCTGTTGTAATGGATAGCCGTTTGTCATTCACGAAGTATTTGCTTTGGCCTTCGGAAATTTTTCGTTAGAAAACTGACCATTACTGCTTCGTGGATACCTTAAAAGCAACCAGCGCTGCTACTGCAGTCGTGTTTGCTCTACGCAGCATTATCTGGCTTCGTGTTTTTCACTAGTATCTATCACAGAAATTGCCTATTAAAATTTGCTTTAAAAGCCGGTGATTCTCAGCCGAGGTCGTTCTCTGATATTGTTAACCTTTCTCAGAAGTTCTGAACTTTGGCACCTGTAGTAGTTTGATTAATGTGGCGTTTGTTAACGTCCATCTTAGCAAATCCGATTGATTTCATTATCTTCGGGTTAATTCTTCTCCAAGAAGTAATGAAGAAGGTGGTATGGCAGCTCGTCGAGCCTATGATGTTTTCTAGTGCTTTCCAAACCTATTACAGATATTCAAAGTTTCAAGTTACCTTTTTCGTTTTTTGATAATTCGAGATGCAGCTGAAAACATCGAACAGGTTTTTGATTTCTCGACTTGAGACGTTGTTGCCGTACCAGTTTTCATAAAATCACATGTTGCGAGACTAGTAATTGAATAAAAAATGAAAACGTAATTATAACTATTATAATATAATTAGCACATGCAAACATGGGCATACCGTCTCCTGTGAAGTAGGTTAGATTTTCTTCCGTAAATCCTCTATGTTTTTCCCGACGACGGTGGAGTTCGTTGAAGCTTGACGAGGCCTAGAATTGTCAGTGAGAGAGTTTTCGGTGTTCTCAATAAATTTTGAAAGCTCTCAAAAAGACAGGTTATGAAAGCTTTCAGGTACGTAGTGATTTCGGGGACGCTCTTTTTGTGCATATGATGGTTTGGGTCATATTAATTGGCTCATCTAAACACGAATCTTTGCCGTAGTCGAAAGTGGACGCCAATAGCGTGAAATCGCGATGAATATGCTCTTGGGCCAATGAAGAGCTTTTCATAGTAAGTTCTCTTTGTAAAAAGTAATTTGCTGGGATAGTGGTCGGATGAATGCCCGTGTTCTTTATCTATTTCCTACATAGTGGATGGAGAGAATTAAAGTGCTTTTCCCGTTCATGCATTTCCCTAGCCTTTATTGACAAAATGTCTGTCACGGACGAAATACTTCTTTTTCTCTTGCCGTTGGGAGCATTTTTCTTACCTTTTCTTAATTCAGTGCTCAATTCTTGGAGTGCACTTCAAAGTGATCATGTGTGTATTAAAGTATTTCTTGTACGGCTAACCTGGTTCACTTTATTTTGAAATTCTAGTTCTGAAATTCGCGGTAAAAAGTCATCCATTCATCGTGAATAAAAATTTATACGCAAAAACAGGTAACACTAGAAGATCAAAAACGACACATAGTGACCGAAACCTGCAACTGTCGACCTCATAAAGAGCCGTCAGTAAAGTAATCACAAACTGTATGCTCAATTTCAAAAGCTCGCCACATACGCAAGTACCTAAATGGACCTTCGATAGTGAGCCTTTTCGCTGATACATGTGGAATATTGGTTGGTTTGTTTGATTTTTAAGAAAGGTTTTAAGAAAGATTCCCCCCCCCCTCTTTACCAGACTCGATTTGACCGCCCCGACGCGCCGGCTTACCTGGGAGGCAACTCCACACAGCATTCATGACGGCGTTCAGGCGGCGATTACTATCTCCGATTGTCTCGTCTTTAACTCCAACACTGCGCAGTTATTTGCAGAAAACGGCAGCCTCGGCATTAATGTGACAATTTCAAAGGTTCGCGGTTCCTGGTGAGCGCTTGATGACCCGTTCGTAGCTTTCCTCCCCCTATTTCTCGCGTGCTGGCTGAAAACTTCTTACCCAGCACTCGACCCCTCTTATGTTTTCTAC